CCATTCCACCATGCTACCTCCTCCAGAGGCAATGGGAGAGATCTTCTAAGAGATGCCTTTTCTAAGTAAGAAATGACAGAAGGGGATTGTTGTTGGTCAGATACACGCAAAGGTTGACTCATATAACTCCTTGCAACCCATGAGATATGTGCATACAAGCCATCAATGTCACATTATATCAGACACTGAGCATCAGCAGCTTTGGTTCCTGCTATAGGATTCCCTTCTCAGTAAATAAATAAAGCTGGCTGTGACATCTGGATCATTGCACAGTATGGATGGGGTGGTTTGTGGGGTGGGAGAAGTTCAGCAGCGCCCTCCAGTCAATGCTAACGCTGCTTCTGAGCTCCCTAGAGAAAGTGGTGAGAAAGCCGAGGTGGTCTATAAGCGAACCTGGGACACAAGCACACTTTCTGGGGGCACACAGCTTTGGGGTGGTGCTTTGAAATCCAAAGGCAGCAAAATGTCTTGCTGTTGAAAAAGGACAAATGTGAACGTATTGTTGGGTCGTTCAGTGATTTCAGGAGTGTCATCTACTGCCAATGGTGCCTGAGACCACAGCTGTCAAGAAAGGGAGATCTGTTTGGGTTCACGTCTCCTTCTCACCCCTCCACAGGGTCTCCCAGGAAAGTTTCCTCCTGTCTGAGGTCTCCTTGTTGAAGCCAGAAGACCACACCACATTCAAGTCCTGCTTTGCCTTCACAACTAGTTTTCAGTCCTGCTTAGCTCCTAGTGCTGACCTAAGGCAGTTCCACAGAAGCCTCCCACTTCACACTGAGACTGACGTGTTAGCAGCAGGTTTGCATCATCTCTGTTGAGACAGTGGGTCAGCCAAAAAACAAGAAGCACAAGTCCCCAGTGAGCCTGGTAGTCCTGGCGGATTTTGTGGAGTGATGATATAAATATACGTCCGCTGGAGGCAAGATTCTCAGGCAGCTCATATTTGAGTATTGCTCCGTATTTAAGGCAAAGAGATCTCCTTTTTCTGGGCTGCTTTTCACACGTCAGCTGTTAGATAACTTCAGATAACTTTGTCAGAGTCACTGTAGTATTAGTGTCAAAGTGATTATCAGTTTTGAAGGGAAATTGCACATGTGATGAAGAGCTTGTTATCCTCAGACTCTTCTAGTTGTTGAGGGCTGTACGCACTGTTTATCTGACCAGGGCAGACATCAGGCTGAGATGAATTGTCTACTGATAGTGCCTGTTCCCCAATGTGGTTGGTGGGGTCCAGACAAGCAGCTGAGATGCTGATACCTACACAGCAGGCACCCGCACCCAGGTGAGGGGACAGCGACCTGTAAGGAAGGGCAATCCTTGCCTGTGTTACAGCTTGGCAAGGTGGGTAAGGAGGACCAAAAGCTTCTCTTCTCAGCATGCAGAAGTGGTTCGTGTACACCACAGATTGCTGCCAGAGCCTTCCTCCCTGTGAGAGGGTGATTTTTTTATTGTTTACTTCATTTACACTGGAAAACAGCACTTGCATTTGTACATAGGAGAATATCCAAGTCCAAAATCTTTCGCTTTTGGGCTAGCAGATGTTCACAGTGCTTTTTGACAGCACGCTGCTGAATGCTTGTTGGCTGGATCCTGCAAAATGTTGCTGCACTCTCTGGCTTCTCAGCTGTGCACAGCTCTCGAGGGCGCAGAACCCACTTGGTGCAACGGCACTTCTATCAGATCTTTGCTGCCAAGCTTATTTTTAGGGAAGGGAAAGATCACCAAGTCTGACATTCATTCACAGAAAGAAAGCAAATAGAGGCGCAAAAAATTAAAAAAAAAAAAAAAAAAAAGAGAGAGATCAAAAATGAGAATGAAGCTCACAGCCAGCAGAGGAGAGGTGCTCCACACCATCCACACAAAAGGGCTATGGGAGTCTCATTCATAATGCACTAGAAGCCACGCTCAGATATCTTTGTGGTGGAGTCACCTGGCAATGTCAGAACACGTCTAGGAGTCTGCATGGTGGTCCTTCTCTTGCTTTTCTACAGAAAAACCAGAGCAAGGACCGGTGAACTCCCTCCATGACTCCCAAGACTCGAGGTAGGCTTTCTGCATGAGATACAACTCTGCTTTCACCTTTCATCCAGGATGTCACCTCTGAAGTCTTTTTGCCCTCTGGTACAACACGATCAAAATGGTGTCACATCTGTCAATACAGTGAACAGCTCTCTGTGCCCTGGCATAGAGCAGTTCATAATTCAACCGTCAGCTGGGTACTGTGTCCCTCCACCTCCATAAGCTTTCTGACTTTTGCGAGCTGTAGTTCTCCATGCCAAGAGCTGATCACAAAGGTAAATCGTCCTCTCAGTGTCTCAGCAAAGCCAAAAGTCTGGATCCCCATCACTTCAGCAAGAGATGTGAAGACAACTGTGCCTCATGGCATTATTACTCTTTTATGATTTCTGTGAATTCTTTTGTAGGATGAGCGGGATCTGCTACTTGATCTTTGACAGGACGAAGGCGCTGCACTAGGAAAATGGCCAACAGCAGCTTCCTTAGGCCTTCTACCTTCCTCCTAACAGGAATCCCAGGAATAGGAAGTGGAAATGTGTGGGTTGCAGTCCCTTTCTGCTGCACGTACATTATTTCAGTCCTGGGAAATAGTGTAAGCCTCACTGTCATCAAAGCAGAGAGCAGCCTCCATGAGCCCACATACCTCCCTGGCCAGCACTGCCTGGGCGTGCACCTGCAGGGAAAATCCAATGCTTCCTAGAAGAGCTCAGCCACCTAGCCTCCAGTGCATCAGCTTGCACTAGAGCATAGATCTACACATGTGCAACCGCTGTTTATTAAAGCTTTTTACCCCTGCATCCAGACTTGTGGAGATCATGAAGTGTCTAAGGACTTGGGCACATGGAAAAGCCATCTCGTTCCGGCCAGGTGACATTTCCAGCAGGAACAAGGCATGTCCAAAACCTGTGATTCATGCAGAGATGGAAGGGACCGGGTCTTTCCCTTCCCGGGGACAGTAACCAGCCCACTCTGGGGTGTTGCAGACTCACAGCAACCGGGATCGTTCATCGGCTCTGTCTGGATCAGCCACTTGACGGCCAAACGCAGACCCCCCGTGGGAACGGAGCCTGCGCAGCATCACTGCAGCAGCGCTGGGCTCACCGCGCCGTCACGTCGTAACGGGAGCAGTTATACACAAAAAGGGTTCAGGACAGTTCCCCAGCTGGCGTGAGCGGGTCCAGCTCAGCCACTGCACTGCAGCTCCGTGATCCTGTCTGTAGCAGAGCAACAGGACAGCCAGGTTCCACCATGGGCTCCTGAAAGGAGGTGCCTCCATGGCACTGGGTGTTAAAGCTCCTGTTACTCAGGAGGAGATGTAATCAAGACAGAGCCTGGAGAAGGGTGACTCAGATAACCCTCAAGCAGATAGTCAGGATGGACTTCACCCTTGAAGACCCTGCCTGCTCCCCATACCTCCTTCTACTTTGATTTCCATTTAGTTGAACAGGATTCCTTTGGTGTAAGGTTAGGAAGCAGAGAAGCAAAGCAGTGCCATGCACTTAAAATAAAGCCATCAGTAGCAGCAGTGGTTGCCGCCCTGCTGTGCACAAGGTCTGTCTGCACATCGAAGGCCAGCTCCTTCTGCACAGGGACCGCAGCATCCACCATCCCAGGAGGGGCTAAGAAGGGCCAGAATAAATCCTGCCTTCATTTTTCCCTTACGTAAAGCTGTCATTACTGAGAACAACCAAGAAAGCCTAAATAGACACATGAATACCCAAGGGAAATTACAGAAAAATAACAAAAAACACCATACGTATTTTGAGACTGAGAGCTGAATGGTCATCAGCGCTTCGAGGGTTATGTGCTGAGATTTTGCTGATGTGACCCAAACAACACAAAGTTCCTTCCTCAGGCTGAGCCCCCTTGCTAAGGTTTCAGGGTTGAGCACTGGATTTGACAAACCTTCATGGGGGTTCCTTGTTTCTCATGGCAGCCCAGGAGAAAAATCAGCAGGTGTATTGCATATACCTACCACCATGCAGCAAGAGCTTCTTCAAACTCCTTGCTTTGAGACACACATCTGTGGGATTTGTGATCCAATTAATTGCTTCTCACATTCAAGCGTTACCAAGCCTCATGATGTTTCTGTGGGTTGGGGCTGTGGCACACTCAAAAAATTGTTATACTGAAAGGAAGCACAGCGTCTCTGTGGAGCCAAGAATTTAATGTTATTGCAATTAAAGTTTTAACAGTCTTATAAAACCACAGAAGAGAGTTGTTATCAGTCTAGTCAGTGGTTGACCTAGTGTCATCTGCAAGCTTTGAGAGTTCGCTGTGCACTCCCTCATCCAGGTCACTGATAACAATGCGGAATAAAATGAGTCCTAGGAGACATCCCTTGGGAGGCCACTGCTGACTCTTCTCTGGACTGAAAATGACCTACCATTACTTCAACCAACCTTCCATCCCCAGAAGAGGACTTGCTCCAATCCCCTTGCAAAGTAATTTCATTAAAAGTATTTAGACTAGGGGTTTTGGGCATCCATGTGTATTATGGCCACAGGATCCCTCCAGCTGGAGTCACTTTGTGGAAGTCCAGCAGACTGCCATGGCAGGATTCCCTCTTGCAGTAAGCTGGCTGACTCTGCAAAAGCTTTACCCTTACGTGTTTATTCGTGTGCTTAATGACCTTATTTGTTATCACAGTCTCAACCATCCCACCAGGGATGGAAATGAAGCCCACTGGTCAGTAGGTCTCAGGAACCCCATGAAGCCCCTTTTAGGGGTGGAGTTCTGCTGCGGCCTCGTCATCCCTGAGTGTGCCTCACCCTCAGTCATCAAGCGGTCCACCCATTTCCTAGCTGGATTCTTGCTTTTAATGCATTTAAGGAGGATTTGGCTATCAGTTAGAGCAATTTTTTAGCTCTCTTCAACTCCTGTTTATTTTCAACCTGTCACTTGTTGTGGGCATTTCATGAGGGCAAGCTTCCCACTTCTCAATGAATCCTGAACTGCTGGCCATGGCCAGATCAGGCCAATTTTTAACACAGGAGCCTGAGGAAGGCTTTGCGAATGGGCTTGTTTTTCATGCTGTAGACGATGGAGTTCAAAGCAGGAGGGACAAAAAGGTAGACGTTGGCCACGAGAACATTGCTGAAGGGTGCAGCATTCTTCCCGTATCTGTGTATAATGGATAGGCCGACCAAGGGAACGTAGAAGATGACGACAGCGCAGAAGTGAGAAACACAAGTGTTCAAGGCTTTGGTCTGCTGTGCTCTGGAGGTGATGCCCAGCACGGCCTTAATGATCATGGTGTAGGACAAGGTGATGAGCACTGCGTCTAGGGTCACGAACAGCACCAGGGTTAGGCCGTACAGGCTGTTCAGGGTGTAGTCTGTGCACGCCAGCCGTATTATGTCCTGGTGCAGACAATAGGAGTGGGACAGCTTGTGGGATCTGCAGAACGGCAGCCGCGTGAGCAGGCAGATGAGTGGGAGCAGTGTCAGAGAGCGGCAGACCATCCCCAGCCCAATCTTTGCAATCCTGGCACTGGTGAGGATGGAGGAGTACCTCAGAGGGTAGCAGATGGCCATGTAGTGATCAAAGACCATAGCCAGAAACACCGAGGACTCCACAAAGGAGAAGGCATGGATGCAGAACATCTGCGTGAGGCAGACCGGGAAGCTGATCTCCCCAGTGCCGAACCAAAACACAGGCAGCACCGTGGGCAGGGTGGACAAAGTCAAGCCCAGGTCTGTGGTGGCCAGCATCGCAATGAAGTAGTACATGGGCTGGTGGAGCCTGCGATTCGCGCTCACGATGAGCAGGATGGTGCCATTTCCCAGCATCGCGATGAGGTACATCAGACAGCAAGGGATGAAAAGCAGGAAAACCAGAGCATGGCTGCTGTTCCTTGGGCACATGCTCAATCCAAGCTGGCGCCCTGCCTGGGTTAAAGGCCCCTTTTTCATAAACAATTCAAAGGTAACGCAGGGTTATGTTTTGTCTGGTGTCTTGGCGTGAAGATCTCATTTCCTTTTTCTTCCTTGAAGATGCGCCAGAGCAGATACCAGCACTTTGCAGTGCTGGTTCAGTCTTTTTTCCTGCTTTATTTCCCCCAGACTCCTCACCTGCAAAGTCAATAATAACATCATTTATTGCACCAGGGCTAAATCTCTCCCAGGACGTTGTTACAGCCTCTTCTCTCAGTTGCTGTAACAACATCCCTGTCCTGGCCTGGCACTCTGACTCTGGTCTCCACTTCCATGGGCTGTTGCAGCAGACGACAGATGCCCGTTTCCCCTCCCATCCTATGCCTCCAGCCTGTTGTCTGCCCTTGCTTGCAGATACCAGCCTGCCCAGCCAGGTCCCTCAGCTTGCTTGCTGGATTTTCAGATTTTCATCTTTCATCCTACGCAGGATGCCCTGCCTGGAGCTCTGCAAACCACCTGAGTTTGGACCATGGCTTGGTTCTTGGCAGATATGGTACTGCTTGTCCTCCTGTTCTCCACCTGCACCCTTTGCCATCGCTTAACCTGCCCTTCAGCAGAAGGGAAAGGGGAAGAGCCTGCAGTTCTCTCTCTGCTTTGTGTCTGTGCAGCACCTTGGGTCTGTACTCCTGGACAAGGGTCCTCAGGAGCTGCAGAAGTAGTTCCTGACATTTCTCTGTCACCCACTCTGACCCCTGAGACGACATGGCCACTCCTGCAAGTGTAAATTTGGTAAGGCACTGGAAAATTTAGAACATTATCGTTTCCCTCCACTTCAGAGATTATTCACAGAATCACAGAATCACAGAATCACAGAATAGTAGGGGTTGGAAGGGACCTCTGTGGGTCATCTAGTTCAACCCCCCTGCCGAAGCAAGGTCACCTACAGTAGGCTGCACAGGATCTTGTCCAGGCGGGTCTTGAATATCTCCAGAGAAGGAGACTCCACAACCTCCCTGAGCAGCCTGGGCCAGGGCTCCATCACCCTCAGAGGGAAGAAGTTCTTCCTCATGTTCAGAAGGAACTTCCTGTGCTTCAGTTTGTGCCCATTGCCCCTTGTCCTGTCACTGGGCACCACTGGAAAGAGCTTGGCCCCATCCTCCTGACCCCCACCCTGCAGATATGCATTTATAAGGTCCCCTCGCAGCCTTCTCTTCTTCAGGCTGAACAAGCCCAGTTCCCTCAACCTCTCCTTGTAGGGGAGATGTTCCAGTCCCCTCACCATCCTTGTAGCCCTCCGCTGGACTCTCTCCAGTAGCTCTTCATGTTTCTTGAACTGGGGAGCCCAGAACTGGACACAGTACTCCAGATGAGGCCTCACCAGGGCAGTGTAGAGGGGAAGGAGAACCTCCCTCGTCCTACATTATTCACTATTCTAATTGTTGTTACCACCACTGTGGTTCTTACTGACAGCCCACCAAGCTACTCGAAGTGACAGGTATTTCAGTCTGTGTGTGTGTTAGTAACACAAACATAATTCTTAGAAGGACTGTTGCTATTACATTTTTTTGGGCAAAATTAAGCAATGTGTACACAAACCCAGCTCTCATTTCTTCTCCAGAACTGTCAACCAAGGGCTTCCAATCCACAGCCCACAGATACCCCAGGGGAATACTGCTATGTGCTGTGTGAAACACGAATCATAAAAGAAAAGCTGTGCTTAAAGGGCTTAAGCTTCGGATACAGGGACGTTACATTTTGGGGTTGCAGGTAACAAAAGAAAAAGCTGCAAAACACTCCTCTGACCTGTGCTAATTACTTGCCTGGCTTGTCTGCTGCTCTTTTCAGGGGCGCAGTGGCTGACGTGGAAGTAGTTAAATTTTTCCAGCCCTCGGCACTCAAGGAATTCACGCTCCATCTGTCTAAATAAACAGGGAACATGGCACTGTTTAATTGGAGGGCATGTGGCTAAACTCATTAGTGCGCCATGAAAAATGGAAATAGTCTATTTCCAACTGCCCGGCTTCTCAGACAAAGCTCCAGACATCTGTGCCTCCCCTCTTTGCTTCGCCAGATAAATAATTATCTTGATAAGTTAAATTAGCAGACAGCTTTCCCGGGTGCTCGAATTATCTTCAACACGAAAATACAGATTTAAGTATTTGAATCTGGGTGTACAGACTTGAACGTGTACCTCACCCTCATCATCTGTAAATGTGCTTTGGATGCCCCCCCCAAAAAAAACCTCCCACAAATAAAAAGACAGTTCTGTTCACTGTGTGCCTGTTCTGGCCTGGGTAAATATTCATTAAATTGGGAAAAGTCCCATCCTCCACCCGTGGGGCTTCCCCAGAGGCTGGGCATCCTGCCCCTCCAGTGCCCCTCCATAAAGCTGTTCACCTTGATTGCTCCACAGTGAGACCGAGGAAGGAACGTTCCTCACCTGCTCCTCCTGCCCTCCTTTTATTTTTGTCCTTGGCAAGACACATAAGACCATGTGTCTGCACACAGGGAAAGGATGAATCTCCACAGCCCGGCTGGGTGCTGTGCCGTGGGGGAGGAGTGGGCGCTCTGGCTCCGGTGGATGCTCAGCTTCTGGCCAGAAGGACGAACACGGAGCCTGCAGACAGCGCTTAATCCTTGCTCGGTCATGCTTCATAGCACCATCTGTCAGGCTTTCAGTGAGCAGGGACCAGAGGAACTGGTTTGTCATTTCCAAGTGTGCCAACCCCAAGCGTGCTCAGCACCAGCCACTTCAGACACAGGAACAACACATCATCCCATCAGCAGATGGGGCATGATCTGTGTCTCATGAACAAGCCAGTGAAAAAACACAGCTCTTAAAGCTTGATCTCAGGGCTTTCTCAGGGCTTTAATTCCTGGCTGGAATATGCTGTTATAAAACTGGATGCTGGTCTCTCTAGAAATGTCCACCGCCTCCTAGAAGTGGGTATCTTCTATCAGCAGCTGCATCCCTGCAGCGTGCCTGTGTTGCAGCAAGAGGCACCCCGCTGTGGAGAACGCTGAGAGGACATTGTGTGGTGAGGAAGAGATGTGAATAGACGATGAAGATGCATGTGGATAGATGGACAGATAAACAGGCAGCCAAGGGGTGTGCTGCAATAGCTGCCTGGGGGGTGAGCTAGGGGGCTTGGAGTGAGTACGGGTACTGGCTGGGATAGAGTTAATTTTCTTCATACAAGCTCACACTGTGCCATGTTCTGGATTTGTGACCAAAACAGTGTTGCTGAAACACTGATGCTTAATTTCTTTCTGAGCAGCTCCTCTCACCGCCCTGCCAGTGGGTAGGCTGGAGGTGCACAAGGAGTTGGGAAGGGACACAGCCAGGACCCCAGCTGACCGAAGGGACATTCCTTACCACAGGACAGCATGCTCAGCAGTAAAAACTGGGCAACAAGGAGGAAGGGGGGGATGTTCGAAGTTAACGTGTTTGTCTTCTGAAGTCACAGCTACATGTGATGGAGCCCTGCTTTCCTGGGAAAGGCTGAACATCTGTGGGGTTAAACCATGACAAAGGGGGACTGATGGATGGATGGATGGATGGATGGATGGAGAGCTTGGAACAGCTGCAAGAAAGAACAGTGATAGATAAGCAAGTCCCACAGAGGTCCCTTCCAACCCCTACCATTCTGAGTGATTCTGTGAAGTCAGCTGTGAAACAAAGCTACCCTTTATCACAAAAGCTGAATGGAAAATCACTCACCCAAAATTAAAATGTCAGTGGCGAACCAAGGCTGACATGGAAGTGCATTGACCCTTCAGATGCCCTCACCTTTTTTCGGCTGAAGTCCTTGCCAGATGATGCAGGGGGACAGGGAGCAGCACTCCTGCCTGGATGTTTCACTGGCAGAGGAAATTGTCTGTTTTCATAGCGCCTGTGTGAAATCTCAGCAGCAATGGCAGTCACCTGGGACCTGCTGCAGGGGCTGAGGCCATGAAATGCAAACCAGCTACACAGACCAGGGAGGTGGTGGCACTCCATTTCGTCCGGTGAGCTGCTACCACTCCAGAGCCAGAATTAATTTTCACTAGATTTTTTCCTCCCTTTTAAAATAGAACAGAAAATGTAAAAAATACTAAACATTGAATAAAATCAATTATTTGCTCCAAGTGTAGGTGTTGGTTCCAGGGCAAAACTGCTGCTCTGCACCTGCCAGCTAGATCTGAAGGTAAGATAGAGATGCAGCTCCCTGGAAACACTGCTTAGATTGCTTCACTGAATTTTGGGTAAAATATAGTGCTTCTTTGCACCTCTAGAAAAACACACATATCCCTGCCAAGCCTTCTAATGCAAAAACAGTATTTCATTCTTCTTTCTCTGTATGCTTGAGAAGAGGCAAGCTCTTCCATGTCAGAAATATTGGGGAGAGAGGGTTTGGAAAGGGATGAAGAGACGGAGGTGCAGTGCCCACAAGCTCAGCGTGTACCAGCATGGGTGGAGGTTGAGACTACTTTTTGGCCATACAAAAGCAATCTTACATACATATAGGTTTTCAAACATCAGCAGTGGAATCCCAATAAACCCTCCTGAAGATACATACTGATTGTTTTCCCTATGTTAAAGACAGGGCAACTAAAACAAAGAGGCAAAGCAGAAAAGTCTGAGGCCAGGGCTAGTGTTTATGGAGTACTTCGCTGGAATATTGTCCCAAGGTGCCAATGGAAAATGATCCAGCAGTGATGAGGAACTATTAGAGAGAGTCCAGCGGAGGGCTACGAGGATGAGGAGGGGACTGGAGCATCTCTCCTACGAGGAGAGGCTGAGGGAGCTGGGCTTGTTCAGCCTGGAGAAGAGAAGGCTGAGAGGGGGACCTTCGAAATGCCTCTAAATATCTGCAGGGTGGGGGTCAGGAGGATGGGGCCAGACTCTTTGCAGTGGTGCCCAGCGACAGGACAAGGGGCAACGGGCACAAACTGGAGCAGAGGAAGCTCCAG